CCAGTTCTAGTCCAGTTCTAGTCCAGTTCTAGTCCAGTTCTAGTCCAGTTTAGTCCAGTTCTAGTCCAGTTCAGGCCTGATTAGTTATTGATTTAGTTTAGTTTATTTGTGCTCCAGTTCCAGTCCAGTTCCAGTCCAGTTTAGGCCTGATTAGTTCTTGGTTTAGTTTAGTTGTGCTCCAGTTCTAGCCCAGTTCTAGCCCAGTTCTAGCCCAGTTCTAGCCCAGTTCTAGCCCAGTTCTAGCCCAGTTCTAGCCCAGTTCTAGCCTGATTAGTCCCTGCTTTGGGTTTGCTCTCATTTCCAGTTATGGCACGCTTTACAAACTTGAGTCCTAGTTCCAGCCCCGGTTCCAAATCTCACCTCATATTGTGCTCTGGTTCTAGTCCAGTCCAAATCCGAGCCCTGTCCATGTCCAGCCCAATTCTAGACCAGTTCCAGCCTGGGTAGTTCTTGGTTTAGTTTAGTTTACTTGTGCTCCATTTCTAGTCCAGTTCAGGCCTGTTTAGTTCTTGGTTTAGTTTTGATTAGTTCTAGTCCTGTCCTAGCCTGATTAGTTCTTGGTTTAGTTTAGTTCTGGTCCAGTTCTAGCCCAGGTCCCATCTTTGTTTCCCTACATTTTACACACATTAGTCCTGCTTAGTCCTGGATTAAATTGTGTTTAAAATCTAGTAGTCCTGGTTTATTCTTATGATACGTAACAATAAACCTGTGCCAGTCCCATCCTGGTCCTGTCCTGCTCCTGTCCTACTCCTGCCCGCTCCTGTCCTGCATACTAATAATGTTTTGGGCCTATGCAACACTAATGGTAAGTCATTCCATTATGCAAATGTTCAGTTTTTGGAACAGTGTGCGCAATGGGCTGAGAAAGTCGAACGCTACAAACTGTAATGACAAAAATGTGAAGAACTACACAATCCTAACGCCAACCAAGGGTGACCACATTTACAAACAAAACGACTCGAAATTCAGAGCGTTTTTTTGTACTCATTTGTGTTTACAATTTGGACGAGTTAAATGTTTAGATCAGGTGTGTCCAAACTGTGGACCTGGGGCTAAATGCGGTCCTAAAATCTGTATTTCATGGCCCTCAAATTGAGTATCAGAGCGTAAATAAAAAGGTCCATGGCTCATTCTAACACCCGTCTATCTCCTTGTGTGCAAAAATATTGAAATATCAGCATATCGTATCGTTTAATGTGATGATACAATATCGATATCGTGGGTTGCTGTATCGATATATCGCCAAGAGTATTTTTTGGTACATTTTACTAAATTATTTTGTTACAGAGCTACAGTTTTGGGCATGTTTCATATAAACTTTGCGCAAGAAGTTCATTTTTATTGAACCGTATCGAATCGGTACGAAATATCGTATCGAATTGAAAGCTCAATGTGTCCAGATAAGTATCGTATCGTGGCCTATTTATCGATGTATGTATCGTATCGGCTACTTCTTAAAAATACCCAGTCCTATCCTTTACTGTATTGAAAATGTTATATTCGCTGAAAATAAAGTATTAACACTTTTATCCCTTCCTTTTGCTCCTCAGGCTAAGCCACTCCCCCTTCAGAGCGCTATGACAACACAATCAGTGTGCTGTGCATCGCGCTGATGAAACTACTGCATCATGTTTTTGTATATTTATGGAGAATTGTCGTGTGGGAGCATGGGGGACGTCGGCTTGTGAGTCAGAATCTTACCGCTAACCGCAAGAAAGGTTTGAATAAGACTCAGGAGAGATCGCTAAATTATTCAAAACATGCATGGACGTCATCTGACACCTCTTCAGGAGTGTTTTTATGAGGGAATGTTATAATTTACCCCACTCTTTAAGCCTAATAAGCTGACTAATAAGGCTGGGTACCGTTTAAAACTTCCAGTACAGTACCAGATAAGAAGGTTAAGAACGAATACTTCTGCTTTTAGTGACAAGTTTGGATTCCAAGTGGGTCCTGGGAGAGAGAACAATACCAAGTTCAAGGAGCATGAACCGTGACGAGGGAGCATACACCCTATTCACACACAGGAAGCAGTACTGGAGAAAGTGCCAGATAGTAGGGGGTGTAAGTAATTGCTCATTCGAAATAAAAACAACCACATTTCACCAAAAATATAGCCTACTAATATCAATGTAGCTCTGTTTTGTCATTCTAAATTAGGATTTATACTTATTCTTATTTATTTGTAATGTAAATATATACTTTTCATCTTCAGTTCCTCGGCACGTTGATATAAAATCATCTACAGGACAGAGAAAAGTACAACGACAATCACAAAAGTACATAAAACCAGCGCACTCGCTTTACATACAATTAATTTCAGACAGTTCATTTGTAGTTTAAAGTCAAGAGTTAAAGAGTACAGTACAATTATGTATTTTGTTTATCCATTTTATTCTTTTGGTACTGTTTTTATTTATCTGTTTTATTATATTTTAATTTATTTAATGTGTTTCATTTGTCCAAAAGAAAGGAGTAAATCTTTCATTTTCCCTTTTATCTTTCTACCAAAAACATGCTTGAAGAGGTTTTAAATGACATCCATGCATGTTTGAGTCATCTAGCAATCTCTCCCAAGCCCTATTCAAACCCTCCTGTAAGATTTTATCCAATGCTTGACTCATAAGTCTACATCGCACAATTCTCCATAAATATGCAAAAAAATGATCCAAAACTGCACACTACGACTTGACAAACCTGGCATGATGTGCAGTAGTTCCATTAGCAGGATACACGCTGCACTTTCATATCGACATTATGTGCAGCACTTAGTAATCTTGTCAATAAATGCAAAAATACAAATACTTGGATTGGAATTTGGAATACCTGACACCGAAAAAATGAAAAAGAAAATACCAGTCGAGGTCTGGTTAGGGGTGTGCATTGTCTTGAGTCTGATGATACGATGCATATTACGAGTCGCATGTCACGAGTCAATATATCACGATATTAAAACAATGGATGATATATTAGAAGTAGTTATTGATAAATCGCAATATAACAGTCGACTACACCTTCAACAGAACACAATTGTATGAAATATGTTATAATTTTTTTTTAAATCATGAAAACAGTGAATTTAACTAATGAATTTTTGTGAAAAATATTACTTTAAAAAAAAAACGATTCAGATCCATTTTGAATCGATTCGAGAACTGCGCACTGAAGTATCACAATATATCACTGTATCAATATTTTCTTTACACACCTAAATCTGGTAGCCTGATTCGTCAGCCAGTTTCACTTCGTAGAAACCATCTGACCTTGCAGCATTAGGATTCGTTCGCTTGACGGGAGGCGGGTACTTTTTTTATTTAACCAATCGCTGCTAATTGGTCGTGTGCACTGGGAATGTAGGGTGAACTGGTATATTAAGCTTTTCCCAAATCCCGTAGGAAGAAGGGTAATAACGTCTTTCCCCTTGATAAAATTCAACAAACATTCTCTTTGTTCCGGCTTTAAATCCTCGAGCTCGGGAATCGCTGCCAACACAGAATGTATGACTCTTCGCCGATTGGCTGGTGCCTGGACTCGCACTTCCGGGGTTTTCGTGAACCGTCTAGTGTATTTTGATTCCTGGCCTAGTCGCTGGAGAGAAATGAAACTGAGCGGAGGCACTAGGTGGCGCCAGCTTGACTATAGTTCTGGTACTTGGAAAAGAATTAGAAATATAGCCTACCTACTTTGACTACTACTACACAGAATAACAGTAAAAATGTGCTACACAAAATAAACTTTGACTGAAACTTGGAATAAATGTCACCAAAATAAGTACTGTTCAGGAATTGGTACCGTAAATACTGTTTAAATTTAAAACATAAAGCACTTGGGCAACTATTATCATTAAAAAGGTGCACTATGTAACTTTTTTGGTGGGTCCATCACCTGCTTGTTTCTATGGATACGCAATTGCTCAGCCTGGAATGTTCCACAGTGTGACATTAAACAGCTCTACCTTACATTTATTCAATTACAGGTGGTTTTACGGCTCAAAAACACCTAGAAAAACAAACATTCGGAGTGTGAGCGGGGCGCCTCTCCACAGATCTGACCTGTAACATAGTCTAGTTTGGTTTCCATGTAGATAGAAAGGCACATTAATGCCGCAGTGTGAAACTTTCCAAACAAAACTATAACATTTCGACAGATACAACAATTTGAGGGACAAAATACGCTATACAAAACAAACTTTGATTCAAACTTGGAATAATACGTACTGAAAAAAGTACTATTCAGGAAAAACTTGGGCAACTACGACTTTACTATGACTACTATTACTATTTTACGCCACACATTACAACAGTTGACAACAATATAGAACGTTTTTTCACGTTTTCCAAGCCCATTCTCAGCATTTCTCAACTCAAAACGTCAAAAAACCTCGCGCAAACGTAAACATCTCACGCATTCCTGTCCTAAATCTCTACGTATACTTCATATTTTACGCATGCCGCCTTCCTCATCTCATTTAGACAGTTGGGTCATTTATCACTGCGTGCGCCTGGCTTGGATTGGAACACGATCTACCCTATTGCCTCCGTCTTCCCCCCCCCTGCTTCCCGGTGCTCACTTCTGCTCGTCTTTGGCTCTGAAATTAAAAACGTGCCCCGTCCACAACGTGCACACTGCGGCATCCACGGACGGACACGGCGCATGGCTCTCTCCGTCGCTATCTATCTTGGAAGCAAGGGAAGAAAAAAAAAAAAAAAAAAAAAAAAAAAAAGAAAAAACGTGAGCTGTCAATACACAATACACGCGCGTGCCAACACCAACACCAACAGCACAGCGCCAGTCACGGCAAATTCACGCGTTTTTCACGAGTGACATTACGAACAGCGGATGCCCTTGAACGTAGAAAATTCCACGCAGGGGTCTCGCTACGGGTTTACTGCAGATTTTTTTTTTCTTTTTTACGCGTAACGATGCTTCCTCGCCTACCGTGCTACCTCGTGCTCGTTCCCTTCACCCCCACCACCCCCCTCTCACGCACGTCCACTCACCTGTCTTGCTCAGAACCACCGACATAGTCCACGCCACGAAGAGGACGCTGCAGACGAAGCACACCTGCGCGAAAAGCTTCTCCCTCCGCTTGCGAACTTTGAAAATCTTTCCCATGATCGTCATTTTGGACGCATTGCTCGACGTGTCCCGGACTTCCATGCTCTCTGCTGGTTCTCCCTCGGCACCTCAGCCACTTTCGCAACCCCTTGTGGTGTTTCTTCTCCTTTCTCGTCCTTGAGAAGAAGAAAAAAAAAAAAAAAGACGAAGCGAAATCAGGAAAAAATCCCTTCGTGCGTCTTTTTCCCTTTATTTTTTTTTTTTATCAGAGTGCGTTGTTGCCCATTTTACGTTCCGAACGCGATGAGAAGCGAGTTGGCTCGGTCTGCCCAATAACACCACGGTCAAATTCTCCGTCCACACCGCAGATCAGTCCCCTCGGTTAATCGTAGAAGTGCCACACGACATCCCGTAACGACCGTGCATGTCGCCTTCCACAGCGAGTCCCATGCGTAAAAACGGTAAACACGGTAAACGCGATGCCCCTCTCCTTCCTTCCTTCCTTCCTTGCTTCCTCCTCTTTTTTTTTTTTTTTTTTTTTTTTACATGTGTGTCCCCTGTCCCGGTCTCGTATCGTCGCTCCCCGGCGTCAAATGCGTCAGTGTGGTCCCGGTGTGGAGGGGGGCGGACGGTTGGACGGCGAAGTGGAGGAAAAGAAATCGCGCTACAGCTGCGGCGTCGTTAAATAAAAAAAGAAGAAAAAAAATAGGCAAACTGCACGCACCTGCGCCGGGTAAGTGCGGCCAATCTGAGCCCGTGAGTGGAGGAGGTTGGGGGGGCAGTGTGGCCGGAGGAGCGGTAGTGTGTGTACACGGGGAGCATGTGACCGAGAGAGAGACAGAGAGAGAGAGAGAGTCGTGCCCCCTCCTCGCCAAAGCGCAGCGCAGGCATCAAGCAACGAGCCCCCGCCTCCCGTGGTCCCTCTCCCGGCTTTCAGTGAGTGAGGCCGACCAAGCTCCGGGCTGTGGAACTTTATCAACAATATACAGAGATGGAAACAGTACTTTGAAAATGTTTTGAGTTACAGAATATTGAGTACCTGAGTTAAAATGTGGCCAATCAGAGTACCACTTAGAATACTTTTACATCAAGTTACATTATATTTTAGTGAGAAAAATACTACATGAGCTTCTGTTGAGCTGTTTGTTATGCATTAAGTTGTGTTTAATTAGAGAAGGACAATCACACGTGCACACACTAATACCAGTGCAGTACAAGGCCAGAAAGACATGATAAAGTACAGCTGTAACTCTATTCTGAATACCACCAAATCAAAGAGGATTCATCCATGAATCCATTTTCTTCTGCTTATCCAGGGGCAGCAGTCTGAGCAGGGACTCCCTGACTTCCTTCACCCTAGACACTTCCTCCAGCTCCTCCAGAGGGACCCCGAGGCGTTCCCAGGCCAGCCCAGAGACATACTCCCTCTAGTGCAGACATGTCAAATTCAGGCCCAGGGGCCAAATTTGGCCTGCGATCTAATTATAGTTGGCCCGCGAGATCATATCAAATATGTATTAGAGCTGCCCACTGGCTACAGATAGACTATAGAGAGATTATTTATTTAAAATGTTGTTATTATTTTATATTATACTTGTTCCGGATTCAATGTTTAAGGAAAAACATTATTAAACATTTATTTAATAAGAAAAAGTTCAACATTACATATCACGAAAGAAGAGAAAACCTGCAGGTGTTGTTGAAATGCTTCAATAAATATTTAGTTTGGCCCACGATTTTATCCCAGTTTTGAATTTTGGCCTCTGTCAATTTGAGGTTGACACCCCTGATCTAGTGTGTCCTGTGTCTTTCCCAGTGGGACATGCTCGGAACATCTCGGGAGGCGCCCAGGAGGCATCAGAACAGATGCCTGAGCCACCTCATCTGCTCCTCTCAACGTGGAGGAGCAGCGGCTCTACTCCAAGCTCCTGCCGCTCCTCTAAGGGAGTGCCCATCTCTGCAGAGGACACTCATTTCGGCCATGAATAACACAGTATTTTCTGTATTTACATGTATTCGGTAACTTCCCAACACTGGAAATATGCAGAGAGCCTACTCAAGTAAGAGGAATGTTACTTCAAGTTCAAAATAATATTACTCAAGTAGAAACACAAAGATGTGGTCCAAGGGTTAGGGTTATTTGGGAAAGGTTCTAGTCTCCTTGTGGCCATGGCTCCTTGTCAAAGTCTGATCTCATCACATCTCTGAAGTTAAACAGACCTGGGCCTGGTCAGTGTTTGGTTCGGAGACCGCTGGGAAAATCAGATGCCACCGAGTGTAGAATGAATGAAGAATGCACCAAATTATAAAGCAACTTAGAGTGTCGGGAAAAGCACAACATAAGACAAAAACATTTCTCAAGTAAGAGTAACTTAATTAATGAGTAGCCCAACTGTCTGGACATTTATTTATTTATTTAAGCAAAAGGAAGGAACAGTGTATATTAATAAGATTCAAAACATGGTACATAGGTCTCCAGGAAGAAAAGCTGGTGGCTAAGGTCAATTAGATACAATCAATCAATGAACCTGCCCAGAAACTACAGGTGGAAATTAGCACTGGTGCTGCAACCTGGTACAATGCATCTCTCCTGTGAAGGTTAATGTAAATTGTGCACTGTCCCTGTCTCATTAAATAAATAAACTAACTAAAAAAGTAACATTTAGACAACTGTAAATTATGGCCTTGCTCTAGTGTAATTTCCATCTGCAGACTGAAATTACAAAAACTTTTCACAGATTCACATACAGGAGGTGAACAACTACAAGAACAGAGGTTAAAGTCTCATGTTAGGCTTTATTTATATGATGACCGTCTGAACAGAAGACGCAAAAGTGGCTTTGCGTCTTCGCTTTTTATTCCGCATTTAGACGAGCGTTTTCAGGAGGAAATCTGCGTGCACAGGGTGACGCAAAAGTGTGTGGAATTCAATTGTGTATGCATGCCTAGGTTTCTGTGTACTGTATATATGTGACGTAAACGTGTACACGACGTGAGCAGATCTGACCAGAGTTTTGCGTCTTGGGCAGTGTAGACGGAAACGCTACAGCAGAGCGTATTCAGCTTTTCCACTCTGGAGGGTGGTTTCAGATTTTTGCATTTTTAAGACCTAAAAACGTCGTCACCGTCTAAACAAAAGGCACTTACAATAAAATATTTTGTCGTTTTTATCCGCAAGCGTTCTCGTGTAAATAGGCTCTCAGTGCTGATATTTAACAGTAACATGTCAAACAAGATGGAGACAGAATAGTCCGATGAGGTTCATTTGGTCTTCCGATAATTTATGTTATTAGGTTCTTTCTTTAGACCAAGAGTTTGTTTTCATACCTGACAGTTTCAACTGGTCACTAGCGCTCTTCCTCAGAGTCACGTGATGTTGCTGTGACGTGTCCAGCTGATTTATACAGGTTTTGGCGCTGTCTTCCTACCAGGTGAAGGCAGGACGACAGCGCCATCTGCAGTCCAACTTCCTCAGGACAGTATCCCAGGTGTGTGAGAGTAAAAAAAAAAACAGGACAGAACAGGAACAACTCAAATCTGCCATTTCTGACCACTGTAAAAGAGAGAACCACATTATGGACTGGGATGGAGCAAACATCATTGGGACAGAGGAAAACAAACGTGCCCACGGGACTATAAACCGGGACGAGGGGCTTTTTTACTCTCACACACCTGGGATACTGTCCTGAGGAAGTTGGACTGCAGATGGCGCTGTCGTCCTGCCTCCACCGGTAGGAAGACAGCACCAAAACCTGTTTAAATCAGCTGACCGACAAATCAAAGCAACATCACGTGACCACTCTGAGGAAGACTATTGAGCAGTCGAAACTGTCATTTATGAAAACAAACTCTTGGTCTGAAAAAAGAACCTAATAACATGGAGACAGAATATTTGATTTAATCATTTTAACTGAATGTAATTGTAATGACTAAACTTAAAGCACAAAATCTTGACAAGCTGACTCATAATTATGTGAAGGAGCGCTGCAAGAAACATAAAAGTTCAAATCATTTCATGCTGTTACTTGAATTAAAAATATTAGTCAAATAGCAGTAAAAGTCTGCTGCTCGAAAAGTACTCTGAAAAGTATAACGTGAGTGCTCCACACCTCTAATGGTAATATGTAATTGTATTGCTCCCTGGAGACCGAACAGAACTACAGGAGTTTACATCAGTGTTTCACATTAAATAATTCAGTGTAACTTTTTTTCAAAGCATTGGCTTGTATTTGTAATAAAAATAGTTACATCATAGGAAAAAAAAACTATATCTAGGTAAGTTAAAATGACTTAAATTAAGAACATTTTACTTGATTTGAGTTGATTCAACTTGACAAGTAAAATTATCTACCAGTGGAATAAGTGTGTTTTTCTTAATTCAAGCAACATTCAGTTCTTTATTTTAAGTGCAAAAAGCTTGTTGTTTTTCTTATTTTAAGTGTAGCAAGATGTATTTTCATATTTTAAGTACAAAAAGTCGTGTTCCACTGGAAGATCATTGTACTTGTCAAGTGAAATTTACTCAAATCATGATAAAACTTTCTTAATTCAAGTCGTCTTAACTTGACTAGATTTTGTGTTTTGCAGCGTTCATGTAGCCTTATAATTATTGACCTTTATTGAACTTGGAAATGTTTTTAGTGCACCCAGAGGAAACCTACACAGGTACCGGGATAACATGCAAACTCCACACAAAGAGGCCCCCACCAGAGACTCTTTTTTGCTGTGAGGCGAAAGCGCTAATTACTTGGCCCTTGCATAAACATAATATCAAAAACTAGATATTATACTGATTGAAAAGGTGGCTTATGTCCAGAAACATTTTAATGGTCTTGTGTTACGCCAAAGAGAGAGAGATACGTTATTGATCCAGAGGGAAATTCAAGTTTCAAGCTTCTCAGTGGCCTCAGTCAAAGGTCTCAGTGCAGTTTAACAGGAGGACTGGTCAGGGAGGGTCTGCAGATCTGTGTCAGGGCAGTTTGAGGAGAGGAAGAGCCAAAAGTGTCCCTCCTCTGTGTCCTGCAGGGGGCGCCAGGTGAATACAACAGGAAAGGCCTCACTCTTAGGTTACGTTTACACTGAAACGTATCACCGTATTGGAAATGATTTGCGTCCAGACATGTCAATTCTGCGGTCGTAATCAAAGCCTCCCCTATCCACACAGTAATGTGAAACTGCCTGAAACGCCAGTCACATGACTAGGCTGACATCGTCACAG